TCTAGTGCTATATTATGAGTCTTCTATTCAGCAAAAGAGCACAGACTAAGTCCAGCCCAACTTAAAAATGGCACAGTGAGAAATCGAACTCCCAGCCTCTGGCTCCACAGCCAGACGTCAACGCCACTGAGCTATCCAGCAGTTGTCTTATAGTTCAGTGAATGAATGAATGAGTGAATGAAAGTGAATGAATGAGTGAATGAATGAATGAATGAATGAATAACATCCTCTCCCTTAAGCACAGAAGGACTAACTGACCATTAAGAGAAATTGCAAACAACACACTAAGTATTTCAAATGCTTGAACAAATCAGCAAGTCATCTTAATTTGTAGCTATTAACGCAATTCATGCAAAAATAGTCAATTTTCCACAATACACTGGCACTTGTGTACAAAATGTCATTGTCACGAAAAAAAAAAACTATCAAGAACAAGGGAAAATTTTTGAATCATCCTCACCAACAAGGACACGAATGCAGTATTCCATACATTCACTCCATGAACACAAATAGGATTTTAGCCTATGAATTCTAATTGTAAGGTTGTAAAGTCATGAATTCACTGAATGATACAAAGAAGGCATTTGTCTTTCTAATGTTATGAGTCTTCTATTCAGCAAAAGAGCACAGACCCATTGGTTAATTTCCAAGAAGCACAGAGATAATTTGAAAACTAATGCATGTCCACAAATTTCAAATTGATATCCTAATATAAAAATAGCACAAGTAATAACCTCTCCACACAAAAAGAAGCTGAAACTGAGCTTAACACATATTTTAATTTGCTTCACATATATGTGAGACAAATTACTCAAGCTTTGATTGGAAAGGTATGCGATGTCAAGTTGTTGCTGAATAAATGTGCAGCTTGAGACCCACAGATATAGCAGGTACAGAAGCCAGAGCTATATTCTGTTCGTTAGGTAATGTAGGTTCATCTAATTCTTCATCCTGTTCATTCCGGCTTGATAGGAGAAATGCCACATTGGAATAATAAATGCCACATTTCAGATAACCAACTTTGTGTAACCTAAGTGGAGTTATAGAAAGTGTACTGTTTATTATTTACATTTGAAACAACATATGCTAATGCAAAAAAAAAATGGTTCCAAATGGCTTGCTTCAACAAAAATGGAAATGGCTTGTGGAAAGCTTCACACAGCAGCATATTTGAGTACAAGACTGGCATAGAAGTGCTACAGAAGGGCCTATTAAGACAAGTAACTTCCAGCAGTGACTTTGGATGCACACGTTTCACATGTACGATAACAACTGACTTCATAAAAACCTCAAACTATGCTGAAAAAATCTAAGACCTTTATTTAAATTCTTCTTACAAGTTCCTACCCCCTCCCAATCAATTTATAGGGTTGGTTTTGATTAAACGAATATGATAATTAAAATATAGAAATAATGGGCTACTAAGAGCATGCACTTTGTATAGAGGAAGAATTGTGCTTGGTGAAGCTCGCTGAAAACATGAATCGGCTTGTGAACAAATTGCAACCTTCCTTTTGGCCTGTTTTACTGTTTTCCTCTCCACACACAATGTTGTGCCGTAATTAGGCTTGTGAAATTCAGTGACTGTGCCCTGGGAGGAGCACATGGGAAGGTGGAAAGCTGCAGGTAGCCAATAAGGCGGCATGTTGACTCCCAAATTCAGTAAATCCTAGCTTTCTCTGTATAGTGCTGTCCTCTGAAGATGCCAGCCACAGAGACTGGCAAAACGTTAGGAAGAACAACCTTCAGAACACGGCCAAAGAGCCTGAAAAACCCAGAACAACTATTTCTCTGTATAATTTTGCTTGTCTTAAACCTAAATAGTGTTTGCAAAATCACCTTCATTTTGTTACTTCCTTGTAGGGCATGAAAAGTTTCAGAGGCCCAGACCTTGCCTAAAATTCAATTTCTGTATAGAGAAATCAGTTACTCTGCCATTTTATGAATGGAAGGCACAGCTATGAAATTTCTGATTCTTGACCTGTTTTACAGTACCTCAATGAGGAATTTTAAACAATGCACCATTCCTTACCTCCATACAAGAGAAAACAACCAAGCCTTCTGTAATTTCTTTAAAATCCAGGCTAAGCATGGGATTTTCAGATTTTTTTTTAAACTACGAATCCAAATCCCAGTTTCTAAGCAGGCTGCGAAGCCTTCCAGTTTAAGCATATTTCCCAGGAAAGCCACGTATAGTTGCCTGTATGTTTCTTTATTTACAGCAGAATTGTCAGAATAGAGAATTAAAGAATTTATAATACAGTAATTATAATAATAATCATCTTAGAATTGCAGAGCTGGAAGAGACCATATGGATCACTAAGTCCAGCCCAACTTAAAAATGGCACAGTGAGGAATCGAACTCCCAGCCTCTGGCTCCACAGCCAGACGCCTACACCACTGAGCTATCCAGCAGTTGTCTTATAGTTCAATGAATGAATGAATGAATGAATGAATGAATGAATGAATGAATGAATGAATGAATGAATGAATAACATCCTCTCCCTTAAGCACAGAAGGACTAACTGACCATTAAGAGAAATTGCAAACAATATACTGAGTATTTCAAATGCTTGAACAAATCAGCAAGTCATCTTAATTTGTAGCTATTAATGCAATTCATGCAAAAATAGTCAATTTTCCACAATACACTGGCACTTGTGTACAAAATGTCGTTGTCACGAAAGCAAAAACTCTATCAAGAACAAGGGAAAATTTTTGAATCATCCTCACCAACAAGGACATGAATGCAGTAATTCCTCCTCTTGGCTAAAAAAGTGACACCTTTTTCTCAGCCAAGTCTCAATTAATTTGTTCCTTATGGAGGGCAGATGAGAATGGCTGTTGGTTTCTACCAGTCACCTGTGTCTTCTTGGGCCATCCCAGTTCCCATTGAAACCATCAATAAGCTATTAGTTTGTCTGATCTTTTGAGAAATTTTGCGTTCAGGCATCAACACTGATTTCCACTTACCAAAATCTGAGAATCAAGAGTACCTGTGTTGGAAGGAAATTCTTTCCACACAGAGGCCATGAGCTACATGGAAACAATTCTTTGGAAGCTAAACACTTTTGACTTCTGTTCCAAAGCTCCAGGGGCTCCCCTGTGATTTTTTTCTTCATTGTGAATCCATGGGGGCTGCCATGTGGAAGGAGCAAGTCTTGAATTGCCCAAAATCACCAATGCCAGCATGACTTCATCAGCAACAGCAGTTTTCAGTAAAGACTTCCCCTTCCTGTTCTGCAGCTCCCATGGCTTCCTCACTATGAAAATTGTGGGATGGAAGGGGAAGGTCCTAGCAGCTTCAGAAAAGAAGTTGGAAATACTAAATTTTCCAAAAAATTACAACTGCTGCTCACATCATCAATTTTATGTGGTACAAGTTACAGGATAGGTGGGGTAGGTGGGGCTCGTCAGCCTTGGAAGGCAACCCACCTAGGAGAAGGAACACTCTGATTTCAAACCTCCACTGCCGTGTGGCTATATCCACTGAAGGAAAAGGCTTCAGGAGTTAACCTCGAGGCAAAATCCAGAGCTGGCGTCCCGGAGGCGGTTCGTGTCGTTCTGTCAACTCCTGCAACATCTCTGGAACCAATTGTATTGGCTCTTGCCTTTCTATTGGACTATTTCAGTGATGGGAAGAGAGGGGCTTTGCTGCTTGGGTAACAGCCTATCCTCCATGTTATTTTAACTGGGCTTTGTGCTCTGGAGAGGACACTCCAGCTTCGCGTACAGCGTTGAAACAACACGGAAAGAGATTACAACGCTCGAATTGGCCATCTCTCCCACACTAGATGCTGTTCCAAGTCCTCCATACAGAGCACATTACCATGGTCTCTCAAGACTGAAGGATGCCTAACATAACTAACATAAGTTACAGGAACCAGATATAGGATACAAGTTACAGAAACAGGATTTCAGCCAACATATGAAGGCAATTATGAAGTAATTCTGTGCCCTACAGTTTCATCTCATTTGGTTAACTTGACCACAGTGCATATTGTACACCTCAGAGGCTTGAAAGCATTTGTTGTCTAGCTCAGTGGTTCTAACTCCTGATGAATCTCTGCGAAGGATACAGTCAGGTACAGTCCATTGGTTGTCACCGTGGTGGTGCAAAGAATATTTTCCTCCAAATATTCATATAGTTTCTAAGGGTCCGCATACCAAGACAGTGGGTTTAAGGCAGTCCCACTAATCCTGGTATTAATGACATGTAGAAATGAGAGCAGAAGCTGGGAGGTATTGGCAAGATGATGGGAAAACAGAAGGCTGAAAGAACTGCTATTATAGCTTGTGGAAGAGGCAATTTCATACCACCTAGCAAATCCTATTACTTGCCAGTCTTTGAATCTTCGCTGGACCAATACGTATTAAGGATGAACTCAGCCTTTTCCTTCCACCTTTAACCTTGTTCAAATCAAGATCAGCGAAGTGTCATAGAATTGTCTTGGTGGTTATTCTTCTTTGAATTGAGGTGCAATAGCAGGACCTATTTCTGAATCCAAGCTCAAGACACAGAGAGAATTTTATAAGCAGGAGAAGCATTAAGTGGGGCTTTCTTCCTCCTTCGGAGCATAGGTATCAGAAGGCTTGAATTTCAGTGACTTCTGGCCTAGGCTTTTGTGTGTCTTCAAGTCAACAGTAAAGAAAATCTCTTTGAGATTTACAGAGGATGGAAGATCACAAAAGGCAGGCAGCAAGGTCGTGGTTAATTAAATGTCGTGGTTTCTGTTGAGCAGTAAAGTATGTGGTCTAAAAGGACAAAAGGAGCCTTAAAAAGCAACAGCTTCAAGGAAGGAAGACATAGTAGGCCATAGACTGAGACGCAAGGAAAGGAATTGCAAGCGAGATAACACGGTGCAAATGAGGCACAACCTTATGGTTGCTGCTTACATAAATTGTGGGTAAGAAGACCTATGTCCTGTTTGGGAGACTGCTGTGTTATAGTGATGTGCACGTCCATTGTATCTGACTTATTTCTTTTCTTTAGATATCAATGAATGTACAGTAAGGAATGGAGGTTGCCAGCAGAGATGCACAAACACTCTGGGTCCCTACCACTGTGAATGTGATGCAGGTTACAGACTTCATGCTGATGGATCCACCTGCATAGGTGAGTAAGCATTGTAACATCATTGTATCAGCCATATGTTTGAGGGAAAGGAGATCTACAAGAACAGAAGAGAAGAGGGAGAAGGGGGAAAATATTGTTCTTTTTTTTTCTATTCCAGATTATGTCATGACATGTTGTCAAGTTGTCAGGAAAGCTGTCAGCTTTGTCCTGACTTTTTAAAATTGCTTTTAGAGCAGTTTTGATGCAGTTGCCTGTTCTCTTTCCATTGTGATTCTTCTGGCTCTTAGGGTGAGAGAGATGCCAAATAAGGTTACCTCATGTGACGCTGTATCTAATGGATGGCAGATGCTTGCTTGTGGGGAAAAAATGTGGTTATATTTTTTCCCGATGTTACTCTGCTTAGACAGTTTACTGCAACTTCTTCAGTTTTCTGAAATAAGAGCAAATCCAACACGTGGTGCCTAAAAGCACCCAGCAAATGAAAAATGTATTGAAAGAAAGTGACCGAACTTCTGTAGGTGTAACTATGCCACGAAAGGCTGTTGATGTCATCAGCTAGGGGAGTTTTTCAGAAATTAAATACTTCCTACTTCTGTTCCATGGCTCCCAAGGTTCCCACATATTTGCTTTAATCATGTGTAAGCCCTGGGAGCTGTGGGATGGGAGGAGGAAATCTAGTCACTGAAAATCTTTGTCCTCAGGATGAACAGGTTTAGCGGACTTCCCTGGGGAAATAATTTCAGAAATGCAGATCTCTGATATATTGTGTTAGAAACATCGACATCTCTCCATGACCAACAAGTACGTAGGAATGTAGGGCACATACAGAATGAGACCTTTGGTCTATCCTACCCAATATTCTTTATAGTGAATGCCATTTTAGAAAGCTTTCTAAATTTTTCTCAACTTGAACTGGAGATGCCAGCGCTTGTCACTGGGACCTTCTACATGCTAGGCAAGTTGTCTGTCACAGTTCTTCCCTGACTATACAAGTTATGTGATAAATTGAGTGCTCCATGTTGGGTTCAATTTAGATTGCTTCACAATGTATATTGCTTAAATTTTATGTAGAATACTTACATAAATAGCCTGGAACTGCCCTGCTAGACTCAGTTTTTTGCTTTTTGCTTTACTTCCATTCCTTGTGTCCAAGGTTATCCTTCAGGAATGATGGTTATACCAATAGGGTTAGGAGCCAATTCACATCAGCCTGAAAACTAACCAAGGATGGGGACTTAAGTTGTGGGACTTGCTGTCAAGTTGGACATGGCAGCGAGTCAACTCGGACTTAACTCAGGGTTGTTTTTTTCAATGACTTGGATTCAACTTGAAACCTCCTCCCTTTCTTCTGGGGAGGGGGGAAGAAGCTTGTTTTTAATAGGGACTTGGACTTGTGGATTGGGACTTGGTACCAAAGACTCAGAATCGGACTTGGGACTTGGACTCAAAGACTTGTCAGCATCCCTGAAACTAGCCATGTTCAGAGCAGTAAATTTACTGAACTTGGTTTATATAGCTTATGGAGCTCAGATGTGCTATGAACTGAAATATTGTTTCCCCAGAAAGTTTTTATCTATTAGTTCAGAATATGAACATCCCACAGAAGGACAATCAATAGGTTTCCCATTATATCTTGAAATACCATGTACTTTTCCATCCTAGATGTTAATCATAGCTTAGAAAGAACTGTGCAAAATCATTGAAACCTAGTTTTTAAGGGAAGAATTGCTCCTTTTAGTGGTACAGGGCATTTCTTGGAAAGTTCTCATATTAGTAACATAAGAGCTGTACGGTCCTTTATCGTGTCTGACCATATTCTGATTCCTTTTGCCCTAAAACCTCCTTTTGCCCTAAAACCACCTAGTTACATAGCTGAGTTAAAGAGGCTTTAGTAAATAGTTAAATAATCAGGTCAGATAGCCAGCAGCCATGTTGTTTTGTGGTGTCTGGAAACAGAAACACCCCAAATAATTTTCCTAAGCCTTAAAATCATGAGGATACTGCCAACAACTGTGTCAAGTCTTTTCACTTGATGTTCTCACCCTTGATGCTCTAGACATGGTGTGTTGTCATCACATGGTGTTTCTGTGTCCCTGTTCTGGATCATCTGTTGACTGGGGCAGAGAGACTCACCAAGTGATGACACTGCATCATGAAGTGAATGTTTCTACACACCCCAGGTGAGAAAGTGACATGGGAATGTATTCAGCAGTAGCCTTGTGGAGTACATAATAAGCTCACTCAAAATAGAGGGTCTAGAAATGCTTTCTCCCTTTTAAAAAATAAATAAATGATCAAGTGACCTTGTGTGTGTGTGTGTAAATCAAGAAGTTTAAACACATTTTAAAGAGATTAGTTGCTTTTTCTTCCCTGACTGACTGAAATGTAAAGGATCAGTTTAGTAGAAAGCACATTTTGTCAGCCACATTAGCATGAACTGATACTATTTTATAGGTATGTGCACAATCTGGGGATAAATGTGCAAAAACAGAATCAATGGTATTTGTGCAATTTGAGAGCAAATGTAAGTGGAGTGAAGACCTGCTGATCAGTTCCAAGGTAGAGCAACACCACAATGGTTCCTCCATATCCAATTAGGTATTCATAGGGTTAAAAAAATTATAGTGATTTGAACTGAGGAAAGGGAGAAATGAAAGTAATGCAGTACTGTAGACTAAATTGTTGGCACCAAAGGAGAAGCTGAGTCAAACTCTTCCCTGGACACTCCAGTCATTGTGTTCCTAGGGGAAGCTTAGGCTGAGCATATATAATCGCTCACAGTTGTTCTACCAGCCATTTTCTGGAGTTGTGTGGTAAAGAAAAATGCATGTGTCACTGTCTAGATCAGCGGTCACCAACCTTTTTCGGCCCACAGACCGGCTGGGGAAGGCGGGGCACCCCCTATGTGCATGTGCGAACAAGTGCGTGATCGCTCTCGCACAGTTGCGCACACTTGTGTGCATGCACAAAGAGTGGCGCTGCACTCGTATGTGCATGCTGGAGCTCACAGGCAGCCGCAAATGGGCTGTGCAGGGGTGAGTGCACGCAGGGGGTGAGAAGTCTGTCTCGGCGGCCAGGTCTGGCTCAGGCCACGGACCGGTACCAGGCCATGGACCAGGGGTTGGGGACCTCTGGTCTAGATGACTTATTTGCATTCTGGAATACTTTTCTGTACTCTCGAACACAAGTTAGTATAGTAAACCTTACTGAAGTATTACGCTGTTAGGATTGAATGCATGAGAGGCTGTGGAAGGATGTTTGATGTATGGGCTTTGAGTAGATAGGTCAGATGATTTACTATTTCCTCCTTCTATCTGCAGAAATAGTTGCTTGATTTTTCTGTTCATTTTAACGGAGAATCTGGAAACTCACAGATAGCCTGTTGAGGAATCCCTAGCCTCTGTAAGAATTATAGCATGATTATGGGGAAAAGAACACTTTTTACCACATTCTTCCCAATTTGCCAATTTGAAACAAAAGGTGCATTAACATGCACACACAACATTAAGTGAAGAAGACTAGCTCCTTGGTCAAAAACAGGCATACAACTCATCTAACACTCTTGCATTTTAAATGTGTGCGCAACAATGTAGCAGGTAGTGCAGTTTTGCGTAAGTTGCACAAAAATAGTTCATGCAGATGTGAGAACTCTCACCCGAAGTATTTTAGTTTTCAGACAAATAGCTTTGTTAGCCGGTTTGGCAGAAGCAGAAACAGAAGTACTGTGGTGCTTTTAAAACTAACAGATTCATTTCAGTGTGAGCTTTTGTGACTTACAGTTTACTTCAGGCACATGAAATAAGTCTGTCAGTCATCAATGTGCCACAGTGCTGTTGTTGGTAATGATGATGATACAGAAACTGTTTTATCACCTTTAAAGTGGATATTGTTTGGCACCATGGCAGCTGATTCTGCGCTATCGGCCTGCCCAAATATTAGAATCAGCAGCAGAAGCTTTCTTGCATGTTCCAAGGGAGTTCTGAGTTAGATCAGAGGTAGGGCTTTTTTGGGGGCCATTCCCAGAAATTCCCCGCCTGCAGTTAATCCTTGCATCTTTTCTCTAATGGTGTCTGTCCTACCTCAATGTTTCTCGGGTTGTTAGGCGTTCTAATTAATTTCATAGAATAACCAAATTAACAGCTGCTTTTAGAGGATTTACTTCTTCTTCCTGGAGTTTGCTGTTTTGCAACTTCTTTTTAATGATGATGCTTTAGTGTTTTATTAACTTCTTATTATACATGTTTAAATATACATTGTATTTCTTTGTTTTTCTTAGCCATCTTGAAATTTTGGAAAGAATGTTTTTTAAAAGGAGAGGAGGAACATACTAGTATTAAAAAAATCACGCTCTTTACACCTTGTATAGATTAGTTATGTCGTCACAGTGGGGAAAAATGACAGCCAATAGATACTTTAACTTGATATATCAGAGCAATAAGGCATAAAGCTCCAATTAGTGTTGCCAAATACTGCAGAAAGGCTTAAAACATTATGTAAATCTGCATATCAGCACAACCGAAATTGTTATTCAAAGCCACATATCATCATTATCATCACCATCACCACCACCACCATTATTATTATTATTATTATTATCATTATCATTATCATTATCATTATCATTATCATTATCATTATCATTATCATTATCATTATCATTATCATTATCATTATCATTATCATTATCATTATCATTATCATTATCATTATCATTATCATTATCATTATCATTATCATTATCATTATCATTATCATTATCATTATCATTATCATTATCATTATCATTATCATTATCATTATCATTATCATTATCATTATCATTATCATTATCATTATCATTATCATTATCATTATCATTATCATTATCATTATCATTATCATTATCATTATCATTATCATTATCATTATCATTATCATTATCATTATCATTATCATTATCATTATCATTATCATTATCATTATCATTATCATTATCATTATCATTATCATTATCATTATCATTATCATTATCATTATCATTATCATTATCATTATCATTA